CTTTCCCTGCCTACCATCCTTTCCCAGTTTAATGTGGGCAACACCACAACAGGATGGAGCTATTAACATTTTGTTACATTTCTCGAAGAATATAGAATTAATATATAGGAACAATATTATAACTTTTTTATAATTTGGGGTTGTTTAGTCTGGAGAAAAGGAGGCTGAGGGGAGACCTAATCGCCCTCTACAACGACCTGAAAGGAGGTTGTAGTGAGGTGGAGGTTGGTCTCTTCTCCCCGGTAACTAGCAATAGGACAAGAGGACACGGTCTCATGTTGCACCAAGGGTGGTTCTGGCTGGATATTAGGAAGAACTTCTTCACTGTAAGAGTCGTTAGGCACTGGAACGGGCTCCCCAGGGAGGTGGTGGAGTCACCATCCCTGAAGGTGTTCAAAAAATGTTTAGATGTGGCGCTTCAAGACATGGTTTAGTGGGCTTAGCAGGCATGGTGGCATCGGGTGTACGGTTGGACTTGATGATCTTTGAGGTCTCTTCCAACCATAATGATTCTATGATTCTATGATTCCATAATAAAGTCATCTAAGATTAGCCTAGCTGTAATTGTCAATAACTCCAATATCGTAAGATTTGGTTTTCTCACAGTTATACTCATAGGTGACTGAGCTGCCAGACTCTTCCTTGTAGTATCGGAAAGGCAGGAAAAATGAAACATCCACTACAGGAATGAAAGCAAACAGGAGGAAGGAAAAGAAGTGAGAGCCATCCTAAATCATAACAGTGAAAGCAAGATGATTCCAACTCCCTGTGAATCTACTGCATCAGTTCTTTCTGAGTAGCAGAATTTGGCAAGGGGCTGGATGGAAATAAGGACACATCTGCAATTTCCAAGTTAAACAGTAAATTTCAAAAAGAGTACTTTCCACAACTGCAGTCAATTATTCATGTCTTCCCCCTAAGGGGCATGAAAAGGGGCTTTTGGAAGACTTTGGAAATTCCCATCCTGAGTCCCAGAGCCAAGGTCATGGTGGGATGTCTTAGCAGGAGGATTAAGAATGTGAGAATGAATTAGCCGCTCAGAACAAGTGTATGAACCTAAAGCAAGAGGCATAAAACTTCATTGTACCCTCAAGTCAGTATTGGTGTTCTTGAGAATAGAAATTGTATTAACTTTTATCCAGAGTGTTCCTCACTTGCAGCTCATCCATATGAAGCTGTACCTTACTAGCAACAGAAACAGCACTGCATAGCAGAACTTCTGTACAGCATCAGGAGACTGATCAACAGGACACTGAGCCATATTTTAAAAGGGACTATTGTGTAGTGTGCAAAGAGCTATACCTTCTCTAGAGGCAGAGAAGAAACAATTTAACTTTGCTACTATGCTCTCCATGGAATATTACTTGCATGCACTTCAGGAGGAAAAGCAAGCCATAAATGAGTAGGTTATGTATTTTGCAATAATACGATCAAATCAGCATCTCTAAACTGTTTCCTTCCAACTATTTTCTTCCAAAATCTGGAAATGTTGGAGAATTCTCATCTCCTTATCAAAAGGGTTAATTAGGCCAATGATCAACACCTTAAATAAAGACATAAAGAAATAAAAATCTCCCAAAATCTCACCCTCTTCTGAATGCTTATTAGAGGTGGTATTTTCTCAGTCAAGTCAAGCTGATCAGGAATCAATTGGATTTGTAAAAATGAGGGAGAAGATGGACAAATACAATAAAGAATGAAACATCTGTTTAAATGATTGACTTACCTGTACCATGGCATAGACAGATCACTACCTCTAAAAGTGAAAAATGTATAGGGGAAAAAGGAATGAAGTTAGAACATAAACAGAAATCAGGAGGATTTCTGGGA